GCGTACGTTATTTTTCGTCAATTCCGTGCGTACGCAAAGAGTGCGCTTTTCCAAGGTGGATTCGTGGTGTGAAGTTGACTAATTCCAAGACGAGCACAGTTAAAAAATGGCGGCTCCCAGGACCATGTCTGCGGCCGATTTGGCGGCGGCGTGACTGCGGCGTCGGCGGCATGCTCACAACTGCGATTTTCAATATGGGACGACATTGCACTCGGTTTGGCAACGATCGCCAGCAACTTGATGCTTGCGACGCGCTAACATTTCTCGGCGAAGGTCGGTACACGAAACCTCTCTTGCCGAGGCGACGGAAGCGGACACCACCGGTCGACCGCTCGAGTCGCATTTTCATGTTTAAGCAAATCTAAAACGTTACTCTGTACCGAAAAGCTTGTTTTGTTTCTCAAGTTACAGCATTTCATGTGTGAAATAAAAATTGCGAATACCTTGGTGGCGTTACAAGCGCGAGATGTTTGGGTTTTTGCGTCAAGGCGGTGAAACGCTACTCTAAATCTCTCTTGCGTTGCGTGTACAAACGCAACCGCTAAATTTGCGAATGTTATTCTAAAACTCCCTAATGTCCAAAACGAATGTGATGTTTATGAAAAAAGAAACACTGAAGCAATTGTGAGCAATAAATGTGGTTGCGCAAAATGTCAACTATAGTGCTAGAATGTGCGCTATTTTTCTCGATATTATTAGCGCTCCTCTTTGGACGGATGTCGTAATAGTCACAGCCGGCTTGAGTCAGCGCTTGCCGCCCCTGAAGCTGTTCCAGCTGCAGAAGGACACTCAACTCGCAGCACGCGGCTATGAAATATTCCGAACATAAGTGGGAATGTTTGAAGTGACACTAGTTCTCTCGGCACACAGTTCGCGCAAAAAACACCTTGACGAGGCTGGCCTCCATTGCTGCAGAGGAGCTTTTCCCGGCACTGTTCCGTCACTCTACTGCGGAGCACAGATTACTGTCCACTGCAAAGACTCTTTCAACCTTGAACGTCTGAAAAAATCACCTCCATCTATGGCGCCCAGAAAGACCCTTCGCGACAGACCGAATCGCTCGTCCGCCTGCCCGCTGGTGACGTACGCGGGTAGGGAAAAGTAGGGATGTTTTTTTTATTGCTGCCAGTATAGACAGAGTCACCTCCTAGAACCCTCTCGGCCGGCGTGACTTTAAGATTATATCGTTCCTTAAAGGTTCCACTTTTTTCTAACTTTTATTAGAAAGTTCGAGAAAATTGGACTAGAGTTCGACTGCTATCTGCACGCGCGAAGGGCTGCCTCAGTTGGCTTTGGATAGGATAGTGATGACTAAATGATAAAATCAAACATTCTACTTTTAGTAAGGGCAGAACTGTTTGGTTGTTTCGGTAACATAGCAAGAATAAATTATGTTTATTAACTTTTAGGTTATTAGAAATATGTTCCGTTGATTGTAATTATTTATAAAATAAAACAAGCTATTTCGTAAAAACATTTTCTCTAAAGCTAGACATGCTTGTATCACAGTCTAACCACTTTGTCCAGAAAGTCGAACCTTGTAGAACCTGGTGTAAAGGTCGAAGCTTCGTCGAAACAGTCGAACCTTGAGTTTCGACGTAAAACTTCGGTTCGACAAAACTTCGTAGCATCCCTTGTTGCAACTTTGTTGTAGGAGAAGCTCCGCCTATGAATCCCAACCCCGGAGAAAAATGGCGCTACTATATAGGTGCAGAATGTTCCTGACGTCACAGAATCTGACTGCCAGAAGCGTGCGCTTTTATAACCACATGCATAAGCTTGAAAATAGCAAACATGATGTAGGTGTAATAGCGCACATCAACAAAGACCAGGGAAAGGAACGAACAACACAGGTAATATTTTTACAGCTTTCCGTGTTGTTCCTTCCTCTCCTAAGCCTTCCTTGTTGTGCGCTATTGCATTTACATTACGTTCGACTTTCCCCAACTAGCCCAGCTCACAATTTTATTACTTTATTCCACTTAGCAGAATTTTACTAAAAGGGGGGGGGGGGGGGGGGGGGAGAAGGGGGCTATAGTTCTGCTCCTTCCTTCAGTGTGGGCAAAGCCTCTTCTGCATATCTTAGGTTGCAACAAACTATAGCGACGAGAAGGTGCGAATGGTTCTGCCAGCACCCAGTGGGAACTTTCTTGGGGTTGTTTACAAACACTGCCAGACAACAAGATAAGGTGTTTGTTTTCGTTTGCGGGAGTAACATGTGTGGTTGAGTTTCAAACTAAGTAATGATGTGGTGGAAAAAGTGCTGGAGCTAGAAACGTGTGCAACTTTCGACCAATTAGGAAGTACTAAGACGATTTTGAATTCTTGTTATTGTGGATGTCCCATTGTTGGATGTCTGGGACTATTTTAAACCGTTTATTATAAGACTACTATCTAGCATTTCAGTAAGCAAGTTACTGGAGAAACCGAAAAAAGACGTTTTTTAGGAAGGTAACTGAAACCGTAAAATTAAAACTGCAGAAAACTGAAACGAAACCGATATCACCAAGAAACTGTAACCGTAACCGTAACCGAAACGTGATATTTTTCGGTTTGTGTCCCTGGTTTTAGCCACCAAGTCACGTGAATACTTTAGTTTTCTTTGCGTTTTTGTTGTGAGTATTTAGGTAAAACAGTAAAAAAAAATTTTAAATAATTACGTTCCGTTTCTGCACAATGAAATATGGCGCTTATGCATACCTGTGCCGTCTAAAAAACCGTGTTAATTCATAATTAAAAAGGTAAGCCAAAAGTAACGTGCGTCATTTCTTATCGGCAATGGTAACGCGTTTCGTTTATTTGAAGATAACGCAAGTCGGTAACCGTTTCTTTTATTTGCAAATAACAAGTATCGTATTTCGTTACTTTTTTTTCGGCAACGCCTAAAACAGCGGCCAGCCACAGTGGGTGGCACCACCGCTGTAGACGAGGAATTTAGCCAGTGCAGTCCCACTGCTAGCCTGAGGGTCATAAAGGCCGACTACCAGACTCGAGATTCTGCATGGCAGGAGATCCTCCAAACCACGGGGAGGAGGAAACAGGCAGTCTTGGGTAGTAACGCGTTACTGTAATTTCGTTACTTTTTTGGTAGCATAACTGTAACGAGTTCCTTTGTTTAAAATGTAACTTGTAACTGTAGTTCTATTACTTTTTTTAGGTGACAATGAAAGTAACGACGTTATTTTTGTCGTTACTTTCCAGTGTTTTATGAATAATATTTCACTCAACGAGTACAATTTAGATATTCCTTGCACTTTTCAAATCGTCTATTCCGGCATTTCGAGTGTCAAGTTGGCTTTGCACAAACTTGTGAATATGTTCTTTCTCACGAGTCACAACCCGAATATAGCCACGTGTAGATTTCATGGAAAAAAAAAATCTAGTTATCTTTACGCACGCGCATGTACTTTGTGTCTGAACACTTACATCTTAGTGTCTTGAAGCACTATCTATGTTGTGGTTTTTCGTTTTTCTGTGAAAACGCTTTTTAATCGGGTGAATCAACCGTGAAACAACAATGCACGCAGGGGGCACTGCGCATGTTTTGTATTTTTATTAGCGCCAGTACTCCGCACTGCGCATGTTTCGTATTTTGATTTGCGCCACAACTCTGGCGTGGAAATTTTAAAACACTAATTTCGAGAAGCAACTTCTGCTAAGTTACAATATGAAGTAAAAAGTGTACTTTTTTTAATTTTATGCAATAAAACCTGGTGAGGGGCGTTTTTTAGTTTCTCCTAATTTTTTGTGTTATAAAAAAGTAACTGAAAAGTAACGTCGTTACTTTTTAAAAGTAACTGTAACTGTAACGAGTTCCTCTTTTGTTGCCGTAACTGTACCGGTAACTTCGCTACTTTTTTCTGAAAGTAACTAACTGCAACGAATTACTTTTTAAAAGTAACTTACCCAAGACTGGAAACAGGCAACGGTGGACAGGGTAGAAGGAGGAGGTGGAGGAAGCGGGAGAAAAGTGGAAAGCGCAACCAGTCGTCGTTCTTCAACGAGCACCTTGCAGTAATGGTACACGACTGCACGCCGGTACAATGCTTATCCAGATTGAAACGGGCAGGGGTGGGAATTGAAACCAGTGACAGAAGTCCTATATACGGAAGAATATTACCTCGTGTTACGCTTATTTGCAAGAAGACTTCGAGGTACCGAGGACGGATAGCTATGTAATGGGGGTGAAGGTATCCTGACGTATGTACGCCCCAACAAGAGGGCCGTTCGTTCGTAGACACAGTAGACTCCTATCTCTCACGGTTACCAACCTCCCCTCCCCCCCCCACACACACACACACTAAAACACGCCCGCGCACACAAAATAAGGTTTCTGGTCGCATACCCGATGCCCGCTAATGCGAGAGAAAAAAAAAAAAAGATACGGTACACTATACTTAGGGTTTCGTGTTTTCGGTATATATAACCCTTGAGGCGGGTTTCTCCAAATCGCTAAAAACCCAAAAAAAAAAAAAAGACCTAAATTTAAGTTGTCCCAGAAGAAAAAAAAAAAAAAGAAACGCCAGCTTTACTGCAAGAAATCTTCCTATTTTTCTTTTTTTTTTTTTTTCGTTGAATAATATTGAATAATTAAACTGTCCTTGGAGTTCCTTTCCATCGAAACCACATTTCGTGCCCTGTTCCCTTCTCTTATCTTTACCAACATGATTCGACAGAATATAATATATAACTTATAAATTATACTATTTTCTCCGGTAATTATACAATCGCTTAACAACACATGCCCGATTAGCACCGATTAAACAGTGAAAAATACCGATTCAAAACGAAAAAAATAACTCCCGAATTTGAAGAAAAATAAATACCGAAAACACGGAACCCTAAGTATATTGAACCTCGTCTCTAGTACGGAAAACACATATTTTGATTGTGTGACTTCTTTCGAATTAGTGGCTGCTTTCTTTATACCTTGTTAAACTAAACGCTCTAACATAGTTTGTTTTTGTTTTCCTCTTTTCTTTTCTGTTTTTTTAGATGAAATGACGAGCGGCTTATACAGTCGCACGGACACCGTCTTCCTTCTCAAGTTTCTTCGCGCACGGAAGTTCGACGTCGACAGGGCGTTCACCCTGCTCAAGAACTACTACGGTTACCGGAGCAGGCACAGGAAGATATTCCAAGACCTGCTGCCTTCGGCTCTGCACAACAACCTGCGGTACAACTACCAGACTCTGCTTCCTGGCAGAGACCGAAAAGGAAGGGCCATCCTGGTAGTTAAATCAGGTGAGCATTTTTCGTCTCATTCAATTTCAACGCATCCATCGACTCACCGTCCAAATGCGGTCATCACCGCGAACTGTGGGTAAAGGTGCGTATCATCTGTCGAGAAAGTAATCGTTTTGCGTATATATATAGGAGTTTAGGCAACGGGAAGTTAGTCATGGCCCCCCTCCGATCAACGTCTGCTGTCCGCGCTGTAGAAAAATTTAGTTATTGCAGTTCCACCGCTTGGCTAAGGTTTCTAATGTGCACCACGCAGGAGTGATAACGACCAGACGCCAGTATATACGTTACTCAACCAGATCAAAACGGGCAGGGGTGGAAATGAAACCCAGAGTCTCCGGGATTAGCAGCGCGAGCCAGCAATACATGGCCTCAGAAAGATCTATACGCTACGTCACGTCAACGATCGGATTCCTAAAAACAGTCTTCGCTAAGATTTTCTACAAATCGCAATATACGAGCGCAGAGATACGTGGAGTCAAACATCAAACGCTCGCGCGTCCCAAGGCTAGCTGTTTCATCCGCGATCTGAGCGAGCTTGCTTGAAGCCGGCCTATCAATGACTACGTTTACATGGATGCGAGAATCGAATAGAGCAGGGACCAATCCCACGCAGCCTGTCTTCTCCTTCTACCGATCTGCTACCAACCAAAATTGCCACATCCCGATTCGATGCACAATACGTCGCATCAATGTAAATGCAGCTGATTGAAATGTAGCCTACGGTTACACGGATTCCATCGTAACGCATCAAATCGAGCGGGGACCAATCACACGCTCCCTGCCTCCCTACTTCTTCGCCTCCTACCCGTACTACCAATAAAAATAGTCAAATCTCCATTCGACGTGCTGCGGTCGCATCCATGTAGACGAAATCTATGACTGTGTGAAAGTACAAGCGCACGGATGACAATCAGTGGCCCGAGTGAGATAGCGCACACCAGGCTCGGAGCACGTGGAGCGAAAGCTCCTACTGCAGAACCCAGGACAGCTGGGCTGAATCGCCACCCCTGCCCGTTTTGATCTGGATGAGAATCATACCGGCGTGCAGTCCTGTATCTCTACTGCGTGGTGCACGTTGAAGAACCCATGGATAGCGGTTTTTACTGAACCGGCTAAATTTCTCATCTACAGCTGAGACACCGGACGCCCATTGGGACTGACCGGCTCTTTAAACGTGCGCACAACACAATTACTAGCACTAGCGCGCGAGTGGAGATGCTGGCGAGCGCGTCACGCGCCACGTTAAATCCGGCTCACACATTAGAGTGAGTGCATGGTCGATGGCTCCGCTTGTAACCGCGCCTACCACGAATGAACGCACTGGTACAATCGCTATCTATTGGCGACGCGCGCGATGAAACGTGTCGCTGTGGTCGGCCTGCCACCATTGGCTGAATGCTGACTATGACGTCAGCACAGGATTTCTCATAGGAATATAAGAGCTTGCATTTTGACGGTGTTGGCAGTGTTGCTTTGAAACCACAATGATTTCAAACTTCCACCACGCTAATTACAAACACCATCGAACTTGTTGTTCGCAAGGTAATGACGTCACGAGAGGGAGACAAGAGAGGGCGCCACAAAAAGATCTGGCCGCTAATAGATAGCCCGAAGCACCTTCGACCTTCGTAAAGCTAGGCTAAAGCAAGTGCGATATTTTATAGAGTGCGATATTAAATCTACGCACTCTATAAAAAAATAACCATAAAAAGAAAAAAAAGCTTGTCGCTGAAAACATTTTCTGAATTATTTCAAGCACAAGGGGCAAGTGAATAAGTTCCAGGGCTACTGGACAGATGACGCGCCAGTATAGTTCGCTCGTCGCAAGCAGTCACACGTGGTTACAAAGCAGTCAATCGAATTCGAAGGCAAATTTGGGAACCAGCCTTCACCAGATCGTTGGTTACGGGCTTTATTTGATCTAGTTAGTACATAACGCTGTAGGATCAGTTTAGACTTAAAGAAACCAGCGAAGAGGGAACGTAACAAAACAGCTGACTAACAATTTTGCTTTAGTATCCGTGAACAGCTTCTAAAGAAGACGGGTATGCATATGAAGAAATGTACAAGCAAAGTTCCTAGCTAGCAGCTTTGTCCAGTTTCGTTTTAAATGTGTTAGCATTTTGCCCTGGTATAATGCAGCCGTCTTTCGTTTGGACGGTCCTGGTTTGGACTGGTCTGGACTGACTGGTTTCGAGAGGCCGGCGCGTGGTTCCCGTCGTGTTCTTCTGCCCCATTTGTTTGTACGCTCGTTACGTCAACTTAACTCTTGCAAGAAGGAACGAGTCTGCTCTCACGCTTCCAAATCCGCGGTAGGAGGAGAGGGGGGATCGAGCGGCCGTTGCGGTGGCACAACGTACACCCGCCGCCAATATGAAGGTGAACACCTTACCTGGTTTCTTTTCTATTTTACGGCTCTCTAAAGCTATACTAACTCTCAACGTCTCAAATGGTACGTGGCTTGGGGTCTCAACTTTGCGTTCTAGCCCTCTTCTGGAACAGAGCTTGTTTTAAAACTTGCAGGAGCGTCAAAAACAAGAAGAGGGCTGTTCACCTTCATATCGCTCACGGGTGTACGCGACAGCGTAAAACCGAGGCCCAGCGACGGCGCCGTTTGCGCAAAACCGCCGACACCTGGGAGGAAAGATTGACTCTTCGAAGGCAAGAGTATCCGGTCCGCATACTATTGTCTTCGATGGAGGAAAGCTGTGGTGGCTGCATCCGAAACTACCGACGCCCGAGAGAATAAGAGACTGGCTCTCCGAACACGACAGTATACAGACCGTTGTGAGTTTGGAATTCCCATCTTTCGCTGAGTCGATACCCTTGCGCTAAATGCTAGCGCATTTCGTCGAGAATCAACGTAGCGACAGTAACGATTTTTTCTCCGTTGGCTTCTCTATTCTAAAGCTGACTGTATACAACAGTATTTACTAGATTTATATCACAAACACAGTGGTATTGCGCTTTGTCCTTTGCTGTTTTACACAACAATTTTCACTTTGTTTGCTTTCCAGGGCTTTGGGACCCGCTAGAATACGGGGCGGATGAGATGTTCCGCACGAACCTGCTTTGTGTTGAGCATGCCATTCAAGACGTTGAGACGCAGGTTCGCGGCATCGTACTCTTGAACGACCTCCAAGGGATGAGCCTGCATCACGTGAGGCATTGTCCTCCGACTCACTTCATAAAAATCATTCACTTAATACAGGTAAGCGGCGTCCACTCAAATCCGTAAAACTCGTGCTCCTGGGTGTATGTGTGTGTAAAGTATAGATTCAAAGTTGCATTCTAATTTTATCCTAATGACTTCACTTACAATATCGTTGTTGATGAATTGTAGTCGACAACAATTGTTTCGTGATCAAGATTCTTTTTTTTTTATCTTTACATAAATATGTTGCTGGTCAACTGTTAAAGATCCTCAACCACGTCTTCAAAAGGCCTCGATTCTTTTTGCTATACATATATAATCATCTGCGTGCTCCCGAATCACAAATTCGTGAAACGATTTAGTTTTCTCCGACTGTATCTGCCAATAAAGCAGTCAAAAGTAAAGCAATCATATGTCCACCGGGAAGTTCCCACTGCAAGTACTAGTGTGAGAGGCGCGCAATTCAACTACAATCAAAGTAAAAGTACACTTCGATCGCTGAGATTCGTACCTACCAGTCACCTGATGATGACATTATGAAGGAAAAAAAACGACTTGCTCTTACACTTTTGTTACGATCAGAATCGCCAGCCCAATTAACGCGCAGTATCACTGGGCACATCAGGGTAAACTGATGTTCCTTTTCTGACGCAGCCTTGAACGCTTACCACACTAAACCGCCTCGGTGGCTCCGAGGCAAAGTGCCAGCCTACAGATTCCCAGGTGGCGGGTTGGAATCTCGGCCGCGGGGTGCTTACAATCTGACAGAGGCATATTGCGGAGAATGCGCGCTTTCGGTTGCACGTCAAAATATTCCCAGGCAGTCCAAATTAATCCTCAGTCCTCCGCTGGGGCCTGCCAGACGTCCTTCGTTGGCTTGGTACGTAAGAAACCCCAAATTTGATTCTGGCTTACCCACACATGCCTTACCCAAGATAAGAGGCGGTACGTTCAAATTTGTCTATAGGAGCGAGTCAAAAAATGGTCGTTTAAATATGTTTAGCCGTAAATAAACTCGATAATGTCTTCATCGACCTTAAAAAGTTCGTTGTAGCTGCGCCCTCACTTTATACCTACCGTGTAAAACACAGCGATGCTCTCGTAAACGTCACTTGTAGTTTTGGAGGTGCTTTGCAGATTCTTTTTATTTCATATGCTTCGTTTCAGGACGCCTTTCCAGGGAGATTCAAGGCTGTTCACTTGGTGCACGAACCGTCCGTTGCCCGGGCTTTACTCACGGTCCTTCTACCCCTCATAAAGCCAAAACTGCAAACCCGAGTGAGGGAATTTGTTCGTTTGAAATAAGATCGATCACGAACCGGGGAACAGACTTTCAAATAGCTATAAGCATCGTCTGAACACGTGACATGCAACCTATGCGAAGCGAAACTTCGTCTGCTTCTTTTGCAGGGGTTGTGGTGGCGTCAGAATGCCGAGCTGTGATTGGCTGCAGTTGAAGGATAGTGGATAGACCTCAAGGCAACTTGCTTTGAGGTCTACCCACTATCCTTCAATCACAGCCAATCACAGCTCGGCGTTCTGGCGTCACCACAGCCCCTGCAAATGAAGCAGACGAACTTGCGCTCACTTAGAATCGATGTTATCCTTATTCTGGGTTGAGTGGCTCGCGTAACTTGTAATATTATTCTGATTACGTCATAATCCATCTTTTTATACACCTTGAATTCAACGAAACGAAAGCACGTAGATAGTAGAAATTGGTTGAAGAAATATCGGCAGCCGGGTTGTGGTTTCTCTGAGATTGAAGAAGGTGCACTAACGTCAGGTGTTTGCACCAACTCGTGTCTGTGACGTCACGCCCTTGCAAAGCGTACGCTGATGCTAGAGCTTCAAGGGGACCCGCCAAGCTGTTCTACAGCTCAACGTCAACAGCCATATTGGAAATAGCAACTTGAGAAACATCTCGAAATAAATAAAAATAAATCCGTTACCGCACTTGCGAGGTGGACAAACGCACTGGTTTACAAATTGTCATGTAAGCCAACACTCAGTTTACAAATAATCTCACGTTTTGAACACAGAAGGTGCAGGCACCGCGCGTGCGCAGCAACCAGATTGACGCGTGGTGAAGCGACTGCGCATGCGCCGTGCAGACTGCAGCGCCACCGCAGTGGTGTGATGTCAGAGCTGCTCGTGGGTCTGGTTGAGTTTATGTGTAGGTCACACGTTTTCCTTTTCCAGATCATGTTCCACGGTTCCGACATGGCCAGCCTCCACGAGCACATCTCCCCGGAGGTCTTGCCTCAAGAATACGGTGGCGGAGGAGGACATATGGACAACCAAGACTTTGTGGCCGCGTTGCTCGAGGGCGAAGAGAGTTTCAGGAGAGACCTGCAGTATGGATACGCGGACAAATAGGACAAAGTTCATTTTAGCCCCGATTTGAACTACCAGGAAAGCAAGCATGTCGTCAAGAGTTTGCTTGTGATGTCAAGGCAAGGATTCGGCACGAGTCACGATCTGTGTTTGCATAACTGTCTAGAGTAGACAACATCACGACTCTGGCAGGGAGCGGCAACGTTTCATCAGTGTTAGTTCTATGAGTCTTCGAAGAATAGCGTGCACTGCGTTGACTGAGTTTGCAAAAAAAAATTATTGAAAAGACCGCGCGACAACATTTTCCCGGTTTTGATGACAACGTCCGCGACCTGACGTTGATTTGCTCGGAGTTCGTCGAGGAATATTCCGTGTACTCCAAAATGTAACTTGCCTTCCCTGGCGAAAGGCAGAAACGATTATGTGCGGGCCCACATGGTGGCATTTTATCATAAGCTTACTTTTTATCTCCAAATGGACTTTTTTCGTCAACAATAAATTTCCGTCTCCAATACAGATGCTTTGTTTTTCGTAACTCCAATAGAAAGAGAAACACAAACGTACCTGCATGCAGAACGACTTTCAGAGCTTGCCGCTGTGGAAACCGAAACCTTTATTTACCTATTTGACTTGGTATTGAATCTGTCCTCAGGACCAAAACACATTGTAGTGTAGTGGGGGAGGGCGAGAGCAGGTATATATAAAAGCAGGCAGTGACCCTTTAACAAATTTCAAATAGTAATAGGGTAAAAACAACGAAACAAACAAATCGTGAATCAAGGAAAAAATGTTTAGTTATATAGTATTTTAGAACAGGTTAGTGTCAGATGTTTGCAATCTAATTGGGAGGCGGTTCCATGATTGGGCTGTTCGACGCAGGAAACGTAGGCCGACATGAGTGAAAACATAGGTTGAGGAGCTCGGGACTTCAGATTCATACTGAAGGTCAGCACGGGACTACATGGTAAGAAATGAGTAAGAAGAAATTGTTTTGTGTGCATGTTTAGACGGTGGAAAGCTAGCTCCAATGGGTGTCTGCGTCTGCGCTGTAGATAAGAAACTTAGCTAGTGCAGTATCTGTTAGCCTGGGGCCTTGAACGTGCCAACGAGTCAAACTGTCGGACTGCTCGGTATAATAAAAAATCATCAGCAAAGCGATGGGTTCCCGCGTGGACGAGCGGGACTGGTCGGTTGCTCGTCCACGCCGGAACCCATCACACGCGAATGGCTTACAGGCGCCGTACCATATTCAGCAAGATTCGGTGGCGCCATCTCGTTCTGCGACACCGGTAGGTGTCGGAATCTTTCATGACTTTTTTTTTTTTTAATATGCAAATTGGCCGTTCCTAAATGTAATTTTAAGGTTTTATTTTAGGATTCTTAAGGCTCGTAGACTGGGGTATGACCATGAAACGAGGATATCAAAGAAAACACTTTAGTGTCCCTTTAATAAAATGCATGCTTCGCTTAGTGTTTCTTCTCGGTATCGACAGCCATTGTTGTGCGAGCGCGCAAAACACTTGCCTTGGGCGACTGCTACGCCAATGACCGCTCACTTCAGTGCTGTGCCACCATTTGCTTGAGCTGCACAAGGGGCGGGCATCGTGCTTTGTCGAATTTGACCGACGCCAACCAGAAGACAATGCCCGCGTACTTTCCTCCCACGCGCCAAGGGCAGCAGCTTTGTGCGTGCATTGAAAGGAGTCTGCTGCGCTTGGTTATGGCCACGCTACGGTGTTTTAGGATAAGTCCGATAAACTCCGAAAACCACTCGCCGGCAAAATTCGAATTTGATCGAAATGCTCCAACTTTCAAGGTCACGATGGCGAAATAAAAATACTATTTTACGAATAAATTTTGTCAGCACACGGTTATTTGTCCCAAAAAGACATTATTAAAATCAGCGCAAAAGGACTGGACAAAATTAAGTGCACACAGGACAGACGCTGAACGACAACTCATTGTTTATTGGAAATTCCACATGCGCACAGTGTCGATCGCGTATGCACGTGCTCATCTAATAACATTTGTGTGGGGTTAGATTTTCTTAGCTTAGGTTAGGGTAAATCAATGTGCTTCTGGACCACAAATAAATCCACTGTTTCGGTATCCAGTTTGGACTATACTATTTGTTAGTTTTGGGCGTCGATTAAAGCTTTATCCCGATTAATTGCTAGCCTTTAATTGATTAATTAATAGGTTAATCGGTTGTGTTTACCACCAGGCACACTACATAAAGTTTCAAAACCACATTTTTCTACAATTTTTATGGTCATCGATGACGGCACCCGAAGGAAAAATCCATCAATGTAACCCTGTTTGGCAGTCAATGTTTTCTAGTGGACCGCTGACTGTGCCTGACTGTACGTCAAGCATGTCTGATTGGCCAACAAGTTACTCTGACCGACAGTCAAACTCCAGTCAGAATCCACTTGCCGGCTTTCTGATGGTTTCCTGGTGGCAGTCGGCCGCCGCGAAATGCCACCAAAATGTCTTGGTGGCAATTCTGATTGTACATCGACTGTCTCTGACTGTACGTCAAAAAGTTTTGACGTGCAGACAGACGTACGGTCAAAGGAAGTAAAGTTCGTTCGGATACCACTATTTCGTCAAATCTATGAATACGAAAAATAATCTATGCACAAGAAAACGATTTCGGGACGTGAGCCCATAAAACCGCTGATGTTAGAGATATGACACGCAGCCGACCGACAACCTTGATCAGAAGCCCGCCGAACACGCCAGTTCGCTGACTTCGCTTCGCCCATAGAGGCTTCGCCGAGCTTTCATGAACGATCGCTCTCGACCCGTTTTGTTTGCCCGCTTGCTCCAACCTGTCGATCCTGCCCGGGCTCTACAATGTCTTATGTTTTAGTAGAATTTCTACTCGACAAGACCCAGCCTGTTGTGAGTTCCGACGATGTAAGGGACTTTAGCGGTGTAGTTGAAGACGACAAGGTGTACCAGGTCTACTGGGCCGGAGGCGCGCGAACAAAAGGATTGTTCTACGGCGCGAAAGTACTTTACATGGCAGGTGAGTAGAACTGAAGTACGGCGAGTGATGTACGAGTGCTTTGCATGACATGCTGAAGGCTTAACTGCATTTGGAGCCGAAGCATCTCGTATAAAACGAATGGTCAAATCGAGTTTCCTAAGTGTTGGCATAGCATAGCGGTTAAGGTGTCCGATTTTTAACGCAAATGGTAGGGGGTTCGATCCGCGGAGGTCTTGCTTTTTTTTTTTTCTTTTTTTTTTTCTCGATCATTTTGTTTTATCGAGGCATTTGGCGATATTTATGAGTGCGTATAGCTTTACTCTTATATAAATGCTGCCCTTGTTGATGAAATTCCCTTGGCAGTGGCAGTCAGACGTCATCTGATGGACCATCAGATGACGTCTGATGGTCCATCACGTTCCACCAAGGCTGCTGACTGGCAGTCAGTGTCCTAAATTACGTATCTTGATGGAATTTTCAATAGGGTATGTACAACCTCCTTTGAAACGTAGCTTAGTGCCGCCAACACGCGCACAAAGAAAAAGCTAAGGCAAACAGGATTAAAAATTAAACATTTTAAAGTATGCTTTTAAACCTTATAATTGCTGTGGAGGACAGTCGTATAACTTGCTAAACATATTTACCCTGGAAGACAACGGGGCTGTCTTCCAAAACAAAACAGCTTTTTTTTTTTTTTTTTTCTCTAGCAATTCGTTCAACTCCGAAGCCGACCGATAAACCGGTTAAAAAATTCGATCGCGATTAATGCATTAATTCATTAATCGGAATATTATTCGATCATCTGCCCAGCGCTACTACTTGCGCTTCTTTGAGGGACGAGGGGCTGTGTTTGTTTAACAAGTGAAGGATGTGAACTTATAGGTTTCATAGGATGGGGGAGGGAAGCTGAAGGTCTTGTGTGTCCAGGAGTTGGTTATTTGTAGGGTTTCGTGTTTCGGGATAAATCCGAAAAACATTGAAAAACACCCGCCGGTAGAATTTTCATAAATTTGAATTTATCCGGTAAATCCTAAACGTTGAAGTACCAAACGGTTAGGAAAACGGCAGTTATCGGCCACTAACCGGGGTTTGAGCAAACAGAACTGAGATGGCGTTACACGGCCATTTTGCTTGCAGTAGAAGGGTTGAAGCCAAGACGACCTAACTACAATGTCCCATGTTCAGATGAAGGACCCGTTTTCTTATATATATTTTAACTGTCAAGAATGAGTAACTTGACTCGAAATTTCATTTGTGGTGCGTAATAAACGATTATCAACACCCCTCAAGTAAATACAAACACGGGAGACATGAGGGAAGCCGCATTGACATCGACCAGAATCAATGGCAGCGCCCGGGGAGTACGGGCTTCGCCCCGTCCCGCGACATGGCGCAATTGCTTTTGCTGCATATCTGTTTTCGAGACATGTTCCTTTCCGCAACATTTGTCTCCGCGGTTCTTTGTAGGTGTGCCCCCTGGCATTCTGAAATAGTTATTGCTTTGGTAGCCGGCAATTCTACGGTCGTCGCCATCTTTAGCTCAGTCAGCGAGCAAAAACTGAGATCATAGAGCTCAGTTTGCGCTAACCATGATTTCGTGCTAACCGCAGTTTGGTCAGCCGTGTAACTGCGCAAAACTCCAGTTTAGAGTAACTGCAGTTAGCTTAACTGTAGTTATGGATGCCAGTGTAACAGGGGTATCAGAGGAAGAAAGAGCTGCGCTTTTGTAACTGTGAAAGCTTTGAGCCATATAGATTTCATGAAAGGGAAAAGAAGGGTGAACAGTTGAAGCTTCTATATTACGCCCTTTACCACTCCACTCCTCGGAGCCGAGGGGTAGATTGATGGATAGGATGGGATGAATTCTAGCTTCCCAGCGACTACCTCCGTTCCTTGATTTTAAACTATCGACGTTTATCGAATCAACACTTGTTTGGAGCTGTTATCGTGAGACAAATTAGTATTGCCAGTAACAATGGCGTCAACGCTGAATACAGCTGAACAAAAATCAATTGATACAAGCGCATTCTTTTGGATCTACCACACGTTTAGCCACGGATATTATTGTTTTTTGTTTTTTTTTAATTAAGCTCGGTATTTCGGACAAATTGGGAATCGAACAAAAATAAACTGCGATAAACTCCGAACTTTCGGCAAAAAGACACCCTCCGAATTTGACGAAAAATAAACTCCAAAAATACGGAATCCTCGTTACACTTGAAAAAAAAAAAAAAGCCGAGACAAGAAAAACAAAGGGACAAATACAACGAAGTCTCATATTTGAGACTATGGTGTGTTTATGCCTTCCTTTTCACTTGTCTCGGGTTTTTTTTTTTTTTTTTCCCAAGTATGAATGTTCACCGGCTAGCCTGCGCCACAGCTCTTAATTCTGTAATCCTAGTTATGGCGTTATGGTGACCATAGCTGGGAATCAGTAAAGCGCGCACGCTAAAGGGGGCTATGCAAGACGGCGGGACGAAGAAACCGGGACATCGCCGCCTGCTGCGAGTGGTCAGTGG